ATTGCTACATAGGACAGCAGAAATTGCTCAGTTCATCGCACAAATCCAGTGAGATCGCTTGCAGTGTACGCTCCCCAGTTATTTCACAGCATAGCTTAAAGGAAAGGAAATGTGCCATTTGGGGGTAATGTTTAATGCAGTGCATATCCCTAACGAGTGCTGGTGCTTTTACCAATGTTAGGTGGTCCTAAGCTTAGTGAAACGAGATCTACTTTTTGTGCCTGCTTTTCTTGCACTTTTAAAACAAGTGTGTGTTCTATTTCTCTTGAAATTACTCCTTTAGTTAAATGCAGTTAGTACTTCTGACTTCAGATTCAGTTTCCCAACCCTTATATGTAGAACACTGTTGTATCTGTTCTTTTGACATTAACCCTTTTTAATATGCCTGTATTTGTGGAATTATTTTTTTCTTTCGGTGTAGGTCAGTAGCAAACTGTGCTGTTACACACATGTAAATTAGGAGTAATTTCCTTTTAGTTAACCCAGTTATCTGGGGGGGAGGACCTCATTGTGCTCTTACCCATCTTCCAGAGACTGAGATGGGAGATACCCACTGGTTCATTTTGTCCTCTTTCAAGAGCCAATGCAGGATTTTTCCTTTTAGCAGCTAGTGTTTAGTGTACTGATTGGTTTAACCAAGTATAGCAGATTGATGACCTCACCAGTGAGCATTCTCCTCTGGTCTTGAAGTGAAGCAGTTTGTTACCACAAGGCCAGGCATGAAGGAGTAGAAGTCAGCGTGGGAGATGAATGGAAAAAGGTTGGATTTTTCTATATAATAGACTAGTAGTTAGAATTATAAATTATAATTATAAATCAGGGTAAAAATCTACAAGATGGGAGGGAATTCAGAGAAGGATAGTTTTATTTAAAGTTTACTCCAAACTTCAAAATGAGGGTGGAAGTTTGGTACAGAGGTGTCTTTCAGACTTATAACTGTCTTGGAGTAGTTTTTGATGCCATAGCAAGTAGACAGTAGAAGCTCTCACATTTGTGAAACCTTTGTGTTTTTTCTCACTTTTTTTGTTTCTGCATTAGCAAACCAACTATTTTACTTATGGGGAAAATAATGTTGTCTTACATGCTCTGAATTAGACTTTTGTGTGTTTTTGAAGGCTAGATGATGCAGAAAAATAATTCTTCTTTAAAAAAAAATCTTGAGTTAAAATGCATGATAGATTACTTTGAAGAGGGTACACTTAATCTTAGCATTTAATGCCAAAAAGCCACAAAATATTATTTTCCATGTTCTTATTTTACTCCATCACCAATGTCCTATTTTCCTTCTAGCTGTATGAAGTATTTCCTATCTCTTTATCTCTGTAAAAGTTTGACATTCATTTGCATGAAAGATCAGACTGATCTCTTCTGGCCTTAATGCGAAGAAATCTACAAAAGGATGTTATATATAACTAATCTGTTTTAACTTCTCTTACTATATTGCTCACACTGAAGCTAAGCCTTCTTTACAAAAGTATGGACTGATGTTCACAGTGAACAAATTAATTTATACAAATTGTATTTAGCAGTATGAGTGCAGAGATATAGTAAAATTTCAGCCATATATATCAAGCAAGCCAGGTTTCCTTACCATGCAAATGTACATACATTAACATCTGAAATTGTGAAATCAAATTATATAGATATAGATAAGAGATACAAATATAATAAATCTTATAAATCTTAACACTTTGACAAAAGTCATTTTCTTGATAAACCATGTTCCATTGTAATCATATTGAAAACTAGACTAGTCTTCCCGTTGCATCACATTAGCTATAGAACTTAGAGACTCTTTTGTTCTAAGACAAAAGAAGTACCATTAGATATGCTGTCATTTTCAAAAAATCATAGATTTTGGCAAGTACCCAATGTGGTGGAGGATTAACAGATAATTTATTTTGCTCCAAGATTTTTCCTCTTCTATTGAGAGACAGATGGGCATTTTTCTTGTATTATGAGAGGTAATCAATAGTTTATGCCCCTGTGATTGCTTAGAAGCTCAAGCAATGTACAATACTGTTTCAATATACTCACAATTCATGGCAAACACAGACACTTCCAGGTAGTTAAGGCAGAAAACTAGAGTTTGAATGTTTTATTAATATGTTACTTAAAAGCTATATTACATTGAATTTTTTACTTGAAAAATTGAGTAAATAGTCTTATGGATTTAGAATCAGCAAACAGAGAAGGCATGGGATGAATTTTTTTCTTGTGGAGAGCACAGGAAAAGTTTTGCTGTAGAGGGAACTATTACAGGAAAGAAGTGTTTCCTCTGAAGAAACAAAATAGTTTGAGACAATTATTAGATAACTTAATACTTGCTCCTTTCGACTTCAAGAGCTCCCATTTCATTACTTTAAACAAGACAGTTTCTGCTAGAATCATGCAGATATATTGGGGAGATTTTTTTTATAACTAGTCCCAAAATGCTAGTTGTAGTGTTTTGAACCAAGCATATAGCAAACCAAAAATGGAGAATATAGAAAGTCAGACATTCATTCTCTTTATAGAAGAGATGCGTTCATTCTGCAGATAACTAATCTTAAAATTCTCAAAAATGCTAAAACAAGTCTAGCACATTTTAAACCAGTGCTATCTTGCACAATTTATTTGTAAAGGCTACTTTGAATTGGCTTTTAAAAACTGCTCATGTACCAGAGAACTAGTACCGTGAAGTTCACATTAGTTCCACTGGACATATTCGCAGTATAAATAAGCCAGTCTAGTACATTTAAGGATTGTACAGCATGGATAGTTTTAAACCTTTTTAAATGGCAATGCAATATTGTATGTCATGTGATATGCTCCACAGTAGAGTCCAAGAGCACAGTTCATTACAAGAAGTCTGGCATCCAAGGTATGCTAAAGTCTAAGTTATGATCAGCTTATTTTATGTGAAAATATCCAGATGCTGGGGAGAACCTGGGGCTCTCCTGGAGGGTTCAAGCGCTAGTCTCCTTCTAGAGGTAGGGAATTTGGATTGGAGTTTCTCCTAAGCTACTGAGCACTCAGCACTCAAACCTGGCATTTACATTCATTCACTCTTGTGCTAGGGCGCCCACTTAGCTGGGTGCCCTGAGAGGTTTCCCAGGTGCAACTCTCCCTACAAGGAAGAATGCATGGGAGAATAAGTTACTCAAATGCCTTTGCAGCATCATACATTCATCACTGGGGCTTTGTTTATTTGAGGGTTGAGGCTGGGAGAGGCAGGTGAGTCAGGGTGGGAATTTATCTTTCTGACCACATGAAAGATATGTGAAGGAGTTAATACTGCTGTTCCCCCTTCCCATCAGAATCCTTGCAACAGACATACTTGGTTGTGTGGCTCCAATAGAGCTCTTCATGGAGATATCCTTGCAAATATCTATTTTTCCCTTCTTTGGGTTTTCGCACAAGAGAAGGCTAGCTGGGATCTAGCTAGCACAAGTGCGAGAGAGAGCAGAATGAGAGTCTGATCTCAAATGGTGTTGCGAACATCTCAGGCTGAGGAATTGAAGCTACTGAGCACCTTGAGGGATAGGGCCCAGATACCTTGTCTGAACTTGTCCTTTTTCATTTAAGTTTCCTAAAAAACACTTGCCACAGGCAATGTTCTGGCAGTTACTGGTCTTTTAGCCACAGCATCATCTAAATCTGTTCGGAGCATTGCTGGGATAAACTTGTTTAAATGTCAGAGGCAGAACTACAGAAAGGCTGTTGATGGCTTAGATACAGAAGGCAGGATATGTTATGGGAAAAAGCCTAGTGTAGACAGAACCACAGTGAATTCATAATTTTTGCACTGCTACAAATTGTCACTTTATTAGACTACTATCATGAGTCTCTCCCTTGTAGGTTCTATTGGTGGGGTCTGAGAAGAAGCATTTTTTGATTCATTTAATTATTTAAAGCTTATAATTTTGTTTAGAATTGTGTATGTGCGTTGGTTAAGATGGTCTTCGATGTTCGTGTTTAAGGGGCCATGGTTCTGAGTGCAGATATTAAATTGTTTGGTTTGGGTTTTTTAAATTAAAGGAATTAAATAGAACTTGGAGTCGGGATAACTGGCTTCTGTTTCAAGTTCCACTATAGATTTACAGTTCACTGCAATAGGCTTTTCAATTGAATTTCAGTATTGCTGGACACCAAACTCTTTTAGGGCTTGTCTCCACTATGTCATTTGGATGCGATAAATCGATCTCTGAGCACTCACACGTCAATGCCAGTTCTGCAGCCCCTGCCATGTAGGTGAGATTGACAGCAGGTGTTAATGTAGACAAGGCCTTATGATTCTTTGAAAGTCCCAGCCTATATAGTTTCAATTTCACATTTTCCCACATGAGAAGTAAAGTGGCTGATACTGATAAAAAAAATTGTCTTAAACAGTATTTAATGTCAACATTAAAATGAAGTTAGTTCAGATCAGGTCTAGTTAAAATGCCCCTTGAGTGAAGATAAAATATATTAAAAATTGTGAGGTACTCAGATACTCTGGTAATGAGACCTTATAAGTACCATAGATAGAGACAGATGTGCTCTAAAAAAAATCCCTCAATGCAATTCAGCAATTATGACAGCTCTCACTTCTTTCCTAGTTAAATTTACAGTGAAAAAGAGTTGTCCATTTATTTCTGAGCTAAAATCTCTTTCAAAGTTAATGATAATTGTGAAGACTGATTTGATTGTTCCACAGTGAATCTTACTGAATAAATAATGTGACCACTATTTTGCTAATTAATCTGAGAAAATTGCAGAAGAGATTAAGAAAAAACTATTCAAATTTTAAAATGTCTAGGTATAATCCTCAAAGCACCATTTAACATTAACTGTGTTTCTCAACCAACTCACTCATTTACTTGTAGCAGATACAAAAAATTAACGCACAGTGTCATAAGTATTGTATTCATCTGGAATGCATAGTCATTCTGTGAAGTCATGTGTGCAAATGACTTGTGGAGATGGTGAAAAACTCTTTAAGCAGGAAAGTAATTTGGCAGAGTGGTTATTAAGCTTACCTTCAGGAGCTTATTCTTGCCAAACCATTTCTGAAATTTGCAAATTTCAAAGATATATTGTGTACATTAGCATCATTTTTGTATAAATTGCTGCACTCCTAATATGCAAATCAGCTTTCTTCTCTTACACCTTCCTTAGGTGGGTATTGGCCAAATTATTGAAGTACTAACACATTCATGTATATGCAGTTTTTTAATGGATATCACTTTGCCCATACAACACGTTTTGTTAAATTTATATGGAATATTATGTATAAATGCTACTGTCCATCATAGATATATTAAGATTCCAAGATTGACACTGAAGCATAGAATATCTGTAGAGCCAGAGTGAAATGATGGAAACAATGACAAGCTAAGAGCTTTTTTTTTTTTTTTTTTTTTAGTCTGTTTCTGTCCAAGTCTAAAGTTCTCAGCCATTTTCAGCTTTTTTTTTTAATTTACAACCATATGACAGCATGAGCTGCCACCTATTGTGTTGTTACCTCAGCACAGCAAAAATAAGTGACCCAGATAACTGTCAAATCATAACAACGTCTTAACATACTGTATGCATTTTTAAAACAGAAACACAAATTATTCAGTAATTAAAAAGGAATCTATTTTGAACTGCACAGCTGAGGACACTATTAGTTGAGCATGTGCAAAGAGGATAAATGCTAAAAATAGTGACAAATCTACTTTTTTTTCTTTTTTAGACAAATGCAATGCAGGACTCAGATGTATTGACATTATAGGAAAACTCCTCTGAGGCTTCATGATGTGCCAGTGTTTGCATCTTTTATTTATAAAATATATCTTAAACAAGGTGTTTCACATCTAAAACAAGTGTTTCATGTAAAGAAAAAAGAGACAAGACAAGCAATTGGAGAGCCATAGAAGTCACTTGTTCAGCTTGCCAGAACGGCATCGCACATCATTTCTGCACTGACCTAATACTAGATTACATTAGTCGAATAATGTAACTATGTAGGGTCTCTTCACTGTATGCTCCATTCTGCCAAAACCATTCCTATGACTTAATGTTGCTATGTAAAAGCACTTGGGTTATAAAAAAAATGGTATGCTGGGCATGAAACAATTCTTTCAGCCAATTGATGGTTCTGGATTTTTAATAACTGTTTATATGAGACTGGTAGGCATAATTCATAAAACAATAGACAATATGTTTAATTGAATTTTTAAGGTAGCTAAATAATAGATAGCTTAAATAATTAGTGCACACCAGGGCTATGTCTGTACTGCTTCCTTCTTGCACAAAAGCCTATGCAAATGAAGTGTGGATTAGCATATTGCCATGCTTCATTTGCATAATTAATTAGGGGGCATTTTTTGTGCAAGAGGCTTTTGTGCAAAAAGGAGCTGTGTAGACATCTCCTTTTTGCGTAAAAAACCCCTCTTGTGCAAGAGCCGTTCTTCCTCTTTTTTTCAGTCTACACCACTCCTTTTTGTGCAAAAGCCTCTTGCGCAAAAACAGCCCCTTATTAATTACGCAAATGAAGCACGGCAATATGCTAATCTGTGCTTCATTTGCATAGGCTTTTGTGCAAGAGAGATGTTGTGTAAACGTAGCTTGGCATTTACAGAACCCTTGGTTGTAACCTAATTTACTTCAGTGCACCTATACCCGAGTAAGGGATTGCTTCATCGGATGCTTTAATGTTAACATAAGTTACTATAAAAATAGGATTTTAGCAGGAAAAAAAAGCCTGAACTGCTGTTGGAAGGGATCTCCTAGAAAACACAGACATACTATTCATGGAGATTGCCTGCTTAAAAATACTGTGGAATAAGTGGCTCTTCCCTTAATTGTCTCAAACTCAATTAAGATTTGATATTCTGTTATTTTAATATTCTGACCAGCAATCATCCACCTAAGCAGGTTGTTACTGCAACATTTGTTCACTTTGCAACTAAATGTGGAGTTAGCATAATTCATTCAGGATATCTAGCATGATTTTATCTGTGGTGGAATCCCAATGTGTACCCCCATTAGTGGGTGCCATATTGTTGGTATTATTTCTTAGTTCTCTTATATTGATACAGTTTTGTGAGTTGCAAGAAGGTTGGAGTTAAGGAAAGAACTGTGTGGGTGGGTGGATGGAGAATAAAAGAAAGACATTAATGACACAAAGACACATTGCAGCAGGATAAAACCTATGATGAGGCAAAGAGGGAAAGAAAGCTCACAGAGTGTTCCTATATCATATTTTTGAGTAATACATCACAAGAGTCTGTGGGTGCCTTCTCCTCCATATGTAATGTCATAGCTCTGCTTTCAATCCCATGGACTCCAAGGGATCTGCAGAAAGGCCAGTTTCCATATTTCTAGGCCAGTTTCCATATTTTTATACCAGTTCTGGGGTCCTCTTCCCCAACATGTTAGGAGTATAGCTTAATTGTAATCATTGTTGAAGCCCCCAAGAAGAAATGTAAAGCTCATCTAACCATTAGCAACAACAGAAGAAAGCAAACCACTATAGTAGAAGGTACTATAAGAGGTTGTTCAATAAGCAGTATAGTTCCTAGTGGAAGAGCTGCCATTAGCTGCCAAAGGGGTATAGTCAAGCCCTTTGAAATACAAAGAAAACATCTTGAATGGCCCTTTATTAACCAGAAACTATCTTTAGTTCTTATTTCAGAGAACTGTCTTATTGTGAAGTTGTCACTGGAATCTCTTTTCAGACTCTGAAGCATTTCTAGTATCTAACTCCAATCTTTCTGGCAGGTGATATGTAGCTCAGGGCTCCTGCTTTTTGAGCTGTTCAATCCAGATTGTCCCATGCTTAACGTTAGCATTTCATGCTATCCTAACAAGTCACAGGAATCAAGTGCTTTCTCCTTGTGGTCTCAGACTCTGGTCAGGGTAGATGCCTGGAGCCTTGGTTATATTTGCCTACACAGATGCATGGTAAGGATGTTAAATATCAGTTAATTAAATAGTCAAGTAACCTCATGAAATTTTATCGGTTAGTCAACTATTCTGTAGTCGGCAGGGGCAGCAGCCACCATATCAGAGGCAGCAGTGTGGGATGCCAGGTGGGAGCTGGTCTGTGAGGGAAGCCAGTTTAAAAAGAAGCTCTTCTTGTAGACCAGCTGCCTGTTGCCCTGTGCTGCTGCTTCTGAGAAAGAGGCAGCAGTGTGGGGTGGCAGCAGTTCCTGTTTAGAGGCGGGGTCTGAGCTCCTGGACATAACTCAAGCCAGAACTGGGCTATCTGCCCACCCGGCTCTTAATACACTTTAAATGCAGAGACGCAGCAGGTGTAGGTCCTGGACCCATTGCAAGCCAGAACTAAGCCAGGTTGCTGGCCAGCCTGCTAAAAAATTTACTGGCAGGGAGAGGGGGGTGAGGGAAATGTATGTAATCTTAAGCAAAAGCTTATAGGTTAATTCTAATCAACTCTACTATTACATCCCTAATGCATGGTGGAAATTTCAGCAGACTATCCTTGTAGAGACACCACTTATGGCCAGCTCAAAAGATGGTTAACTTAAATAGCTGGCATTTTACACACCAAATCTGACATGACAAAACAAGTAATTTAAAGGGCTCTTGGCTCCAGCCTCTGCTGCTGCTGCGGTAATGGCAACCCAGATCTCTGGGCCCTTTTAAATTGCTGGTCATGGGGCAACTATCCACTTTCCCCCACCCCCCGTCGGCGTACCTGATAATATCTGAGAGGTGTGCTCCTATGCCAGCATTTGAGCAATACTTGCTCCACATTCTGAAGAGACATTCAGCATGAATGTAACAAGTTCAATCACAAGATAAGTGACAAGACTCATAAGGGTAGTGCACTATGATCAATAGTACATTGGTGATAATCCTCTTACCTCATTGCAGGGTCAGATTGCAGCCCTGATTCTGTTTCCCAGGTGTTCCTCAGTTTCTTCTCTGCCTGGTCAGATGAGTTAGAGTATTCATGATCTGGCTATCAGGGAAAATCAAATCCCTCACATTCTAGGGCCTAGAAAAACTTCAAACAACAATCCAGACATAAGTCCTAGTCTTTAAACTCAGGGCACATCTTCCTCTTTCCCATCACTGCAGTGGTTTGCCACCTTCTGTGGACAGCACCATAAGGGAGCCTGTTCTATTCCAGCCTCCAGCCCAGGGAGCTTATGTGCATTGGATGTCAACATATCTTCACTTTTCCCCAAGTCATTTCCCATCCAGGTCTTATCCCTAACCCTTTCTCCAGGCTTTGCCATAAGAAGACACTATAGTCCTCCCCACCCACATGCTCCTTCTATTACAGGCAGCTTTTTTTTAATAGCCTGACTTCTCCCAATAGGCTTAGCTGCCAGGTTGTTGTCACCTGACCACTCAATAGACTATAATTCCCAGAATTCCCATCTTTGGAGCAGGGGTGTGCTGACCCAGACGTACCTTTTTACTTTCTAGGGTTGGGTACCAAGACAACTATGACACTCATTGTTATAGTTAAGAATATCAAATTTCCATGTTATCCATTGCAATCCCATTGAACTCATGTACATAAATGAGAAATTATCATACTTTAAGGGCATCTTAAATATCAGAGTCAAGAGAAAACTTTAATATTGCTCTCTCCAAGTGTCAGGAAGATGCTTTCTCATGCAGTTATTATATTTACTTGTGTTTGAAAGCTAATAATATCCTATGATGTTGGAGTATACCCTTGGGAAAACTAGAAAGTTTGATCCGTTGCAGAAACCAAGATGATTTTTAACATAACAATGTAGCTTTAAGCAGTGATATATTTGAGTATATAGTAACACGTTTTTCTCTTCTTTTCCCCCTCTAGTGGTTGCTCTGCCTGAGAAATACGTGCTTAGTTAGCAAAAGGAACACAACTTTTCAAGACTGTTCTATGTGGAAATCACTCCTTGCTCCATTACCTGGTTAAGTGAAACCAGATTAAGAACTTCTGCCATGGCAGCTTTTCTACTAGGAACTGTGCTGCTTATTGTTCAACCTCATCTAGTGCCTTCCCGACCAGCTGTAATTTCTAAGGCTGAAGCTACTACTCAAACTGTTCAGAAAGAGCTTTTAAAGAAAATATCTCTAAAAAATTACTTCAAAGGAAACATTCATTCCAATGGATCTTGTCAGCAGCTACCACAAACTATCATTATTGGAGTAAGAAAGGGTGGAACAAGAGCCTTATTAGAGATGTTGAGTCTCCATCCAGATATTGCAGCAGCAGAAAGTGAAGTTCATTTCTTTGATTGGGAGGATCATTATGGAAACGGATTGCAATGGTATATTAATCAAATGCCATTCTCTTATTCCTATCAGATCACAGTGGAAAAAACCCCAGCCTATTTCACATCACCCAAAGTGCCTGAAAGAGTTTATAACATGAACCAGTCAATGAAACTACTCCTTATTTTAAGAGACCCAAGTGAGAGAGTACTATCTGATTACACCCAAGTGTTCTATAATCATGTGCAAAAGCACAAGCCGTATCCATCCATTGAAGAATTACTGATTAAAGATGATGAGCTCAATGTGGACTACAAGGCAATAAACAGAAGCTTATATTACTTTCACATGCAAAACTGGTTGAAGTATTTTCCTCTTGGTCGCATTCACATTGTAGATGGGGATAAATTAATCAAAGATCCTTTCCCAGAAATAGAGAAGGTAGAGAGGTTTCTGAGGTTGTCACCTCAAATAAATGCTTCAAACTTTTACTTCAATAAAACGAAAGGCTTCTATTGCCTACGGGATAGTGGTAGGGAACGTTGTTTACATGAGTCAAAAGGAAGAGCACACCCTCATGTAGATTCTCGTTTACTTGATAAACTGCATGACTATTTTCATGAACCTAATAGGAAATTCTTTGAGCTTGTTGGCAGAACATTTGACTGGCACTAATTTGTGGTAAGTTATAGATAAGCTTCAGAGCCTAAGTTTCAGTGTACGCTTAGAAATTATATAAAGAAGGGCATTTAAGCTATAATTTATTTGTAAAATCCATAAATATTTCTGTACAGTATTAGATTCACAATTGCCATATAAACTACTTATATTTTTCTACTTGTTAACTTTGAAGACATTTTGTATTGTTTTTCATGGTTGTTACATTGTGTATTATGTCTCTATACAAAAAACTAAAATATTTCATTGCAGAAGATGTTTTCTTGAGATTATCTGTTTAATATATAAGAAATTAATTTCAAAAAAATCCCTCAGAATTATATGAATATATGAAGTATAGTATCTGGACTTTCTCTCTTTATTGTGAACCACATGAACTTCACCTTCTCTTTTTGTTGTTTTTTTACTAGCAGTTTTAATTTTAAAATGTCACTGTAGTCAGAAAAGTTTTCTGACCTCCTTTATACAATTAATGCTTATTAAAGTGGAATCTCATGTACTTATTAGGACAGGACATGTCAGAAACAATGGAATACTCTGTAAAAATACACACTGACTACCGTACTTACCTTCACATTTAATTTCATAACCAGAACCCATGAAAGTCTTTGGCAGTAAAATGCCAATTTCATGATAGATTTTATAAGATTCTGTGGAGACATGCTCATAAAAAACACTGTTGGATACAGAAGTACAGTCAACCTAAAAACTAACTATATTATCTGCACTTATGTGTGCTTTATACTGAAAAACAGAAGTGAAGAATATAAGCAATATTGGTATATTTTTAGAAGTTGCTCATGATGGTACCTACATTTTATAGCATTTATTTATGCTTCAGAATAACTGAAAACCAACACCCACTCCCAAGCCATTAGTTGGATTAACCTCTAGAAATGAATGACCTTATTTATGTTAAGACCTCCTAAACACTGCTCCAACTGTATACAAGTTTCATAAGTGAACGTCAGTTACATTCACACCTATATTAAAGCGCCTTTATGCTGCCAGAGAGCTGTTTATACCACACTAAACTAGGAAATTAGGTCTACTCAAGGAAAAATCCATACCTCTGAGCAACACAGTTAAACCCATAAAACCTTCACTATAGATAATGCTAAGCTGACAGGAGAGATTCTCCAGTCAACATAGCCTGTCACAGTCACAGAGGTGGAGTACCTAACACCGACAGGAAAAGTCCTCCTGTCAGCAGAAGTATCTTCACTAAAGCACAGCTGCACCTGTGGCATTTTAAATATAGATCTGCTCTTACTACACATGTGAATCAGAGGATCAGATTTTTCCCTTTCTTCCTTTGTCCTCCCTTTAAGAACCATGAAGTAACATGTAGTTTTCATTAATGGTTTACAAGGCTACACTTCTAAGGCCTTTTGTATATTGGGAGTAAGGTTCCCCCTCGGATGGAAACAGAGAATCTAATGCAGGTAATTGCTTTTCTTGTCTGCAGTAGGAATGTCCATGGTTTATTTGCCAACAGTTGTTGAAATCAGAGCACATACTGCATATAGAAAAGGATCAAAATTGTACTTAAGATGTAAGCTCTTCAGTTGTAATGGAGGGATCTGGCCCATGGTCTACAATATGCAGATTAAATGTACGACACAGTAAAACTGAATTTTCATCAAATTCTGGACAGATAAGAGTTTATATGATTTACATTTGGGTACCTTTGCTGGTGAGATGGATGATAGTTCAGAACCAGGCTGTGTTAGACAGGCATGGTTGCTTGTGTACTATCTTCTGAATATAAACATCACATACTGCTGCTTGCATGAATATTTGCAACTGCTTTTCCCTCCCTCCATTCCTTATGTACTTTCCCAAGCTGAATTCAACATTAGAGAGGCTTATTTATTTATTTATTGGTTTCAGTAAAAATTTGAAAAAAAAACCCCACCCTAAAATGAAACAATATTGTACTGAATAAAAGATATTTTCTTTATGTCAGCTGTCTTTTATTTGACAAGGTCAGCATTAGAAAATCAGAATTTAGAATTTGACACCTGGTTAAATAACACTTAAGAATTCGCAGTAGAACAGTGCACTGAAACTGATTTGTTGTTGTTGTTATCATTGTGATTAAACAGTCAGTCAGTGACTGGTGGGCTGTGGAGTATTGGGGTTGTTCTAACTGGAGAACGCTTATTCAGGGTGGGGTTTTGTGTGTGTGTGTGTGTGTGCAATAGGCACCCTTACTTCTGTGCTACCTTCTGAGCTGGTGCCTGGCCAGCCATTACTGTTCTCCAATCATCCAGCTCTAAAAGCAGTACTGCTGCCAACATGCCATACCATGTGAAGCTGGGGGAGGGTAATGGCAGGAACCCACGTTTACTCCCCTAGGATCTCCTTTTAGAGGGATGGGGTTAGTGAGCAGGGTTTCCCCTCCCTGTTGCTGTACCTTGGAGAGCCCCCTGAATGGGGAATATCAAGCTGACCCTGGGGATGGTGCAGGATTCTTCATGGGGCAGACATCCTCTTCCTTAAGGCCTCCTCTGCCCACTGCTGTCAGGCTGGCTTCCCCTGCTGGGCTCCTAAGCATGGAGGTCTTTTTGTATTTTGGGGGAGGAGAAGGGCCATGCAAGAGCAGGGTTGGTGTTGGGAGTGCATAATAGGCCCTGTGACCTGTGGCAGATCAGTGGTTCTAGCCAAGAAAATGGGACTGGGAGCTGGCCTATCCCTGCCCCCCTTCGAGTGCTGCAAGAGGTGTAGAGTGGCCAGCACAGAGCATCCCAGGGTCCAGCCAGCCACCTGTGGATCCACGAGCCTACTGTCCTTTGGAGCCGTGGCCACCACCTGTAACACATGCCACTGCTCCAGCCTCTTCCTGTCCGTGAGGAAAATCTCTCACTGTTCCTGCCCCACGTGGGGTGTGCAGCACTTAATTTGTGCCAGGACACCACCTTCATTACAAATTAAGCACGCAAATGGGTTGGGCTTGTTTTGAACGACAGAGGCACTTTTTTTTTCTTGGGAGATTTGGCAATGATTCTCTCTGTCTTTAAGGGACCTCTGTGGAAAACAGGATTCACATGTGGGGAAATAGAAAAGCTATTTTCTTTTCAATCAGCTTCACCCATTACCCAAGAAAGGTAATACAGCTGGTGTTAGCTTTCCACAATGCCCATCAGTTTTTAGGGGGTTCTTGAGGCAGGCGTAGCCATAGAAAGTCCTGGTTCCATGGCTTAATTGGAGAAATGCTTCCAAGGAGTGGGGATAGCAGGATGTTGAGGGGCCTCACATCCAAATGGAGGTGCCTCGCTCCTCCTGTGCAAGGGCATTCACCTGCCATCACTGCTGCAGCTGTGAAAAACAATTGCCATGTCGGAGAGAGAGAGAATTGTACCTGGACTAGGAATGTAAGAGGTTAACTGATAAATCACCTGCTTACTTGGTTATCTGCCTGCTTACAAAGCAACTGATTGACCCACCCGGCCAGCTGGACCCTGCCCACAACCTCAGCGGGCCTGATCCAAGAAGCCCCATGGCCATGGCAGACTGGCTGTACCCCACCTGCACCTCAGCAGGCTGGAGCATGCACCTGCTAATGGTCACGGTAGGCCCAGCTGACTGGATCACAGTCACAGCATGTTGGAGCAGCCCCCTGGTCATGGCTAACCCATTATACAACATGCTTAAGGGGGTAACTATTTTAGGGCATTTTTACATCCCTAATCTGGACCAGTGTGACTATTTCACATTGAGGTATAACAGTTTTGAGAGAACCAGCTGTTAAATTCTGGCAGAATGTCACCCTCTGTATTAGCAGCGATTGGCCATTTGCAGCACATCAAATATTCACCAGTTTTGAAGCAGAACATTTAGAATAGGGATTCTGATGTGAGTATTCACATTTACAAAATCAACATTCACTTTCTAAATATATGTTGCCACAAAAATGTCTATTGGTTAGATTATTTGCAAAAAATGAACAAAAGAGATCTACATGCAAACTTGGTAAAGTAAATTGAAACATATTTAAGTGACTAGCCATTGCAAGATTTTGAGCTATTTGGCCTGCTCTGTTAAGAAGTGGAAGCATTCTCTATGAATGTTCAAATGTTGATTGGTATAAAGTATAGTCTTTCTGGTATTCTTCCAGAGGACTGATTTCTTCTGGGTTTCAGAAGCTTCAGGGCGTAGCCGAGTTAGTCTGTACAGAATCAACTTAAAAAACAACAAAAAGTCTGGTAGCACTTTATAGACTAACAAAACATGTAGATGGTTTCATGAGCTTTCTTGGGCACAGCCCACTTCTTCAGATGACTAGAGTTATGGTCATCCTTAATCTTAACTTCTGGTCATCTGAAGAAGTGGGCTGTGCCCACAAAAGTGCATGATGCCATCTACATGTTTTGTCTATAAAGTGCTACCAGACCTTTTGTTGTTTTTTAAGTTTCTTCTGGGTTCTCAGCCAAGTATGTGCTCATTCCTTGTGTAAGGGGCTACTAACTGTTAGCCCCTTACTAAAACTCGGTGGGGTTTTTGGTTAGCTAGCTCTCAGTACCAAAAGGGGAAGGGTGCCTGAGACTGACAGTCCCCAGGGACAAAGGGAAAAGGCCAATAGTTAAGGTCAGCCTGATTGACAGGCCAGACAGGCCAATGAGGGAATTAGGAGACCAGGCCCCATCCTCCATGTGAGCTGGGATTCTCTGGGTCTCTGAGACAAAGGGGAGAGAGCTAAGAAGAGCAGCAAGGGGTCCAAGCTGTATTGAGAAGCAGACCTGCAGTGACCAAACCCAAAGGGGTCAGAGAAGCAACGCAAGGAGCTGGAGGCTGGCAAAGCAGCGTAGTCTGGAGCTGGGTGTTGTGAGCAGCTGGGACCAGCAATGGAAGGAAGGGGGGAGAAAGGCCCTGGGCAGGGAGATGCCACCAGCCAAGAGGCCTTGCAAGCCAGACTTGGACAGGAATTGTAACACCAACTGGGAGAAGGGTCCCGCCATCTAGAGCCTGGAGTCATGTGGTTGCTGACAGAGCAAGCGTGTCCAACCTGCAGCCCCCCACAGCACAGTCAGGGCCTGAGAAAGAGCCCTGGGACCTACGAGGAACATATTGTGAACGTCCTTACACTCCACAGATTGCTGTTTGTAATGTCCCTGTGCCACAGAGTGGAACTATATGTTCTCATTTAACCTTTTTCTTTTAAATCTGTTGCTATTTAATACATTTTATTCACTTTGAACTGTATGTAATAATCAGTGGGTCAGGAAAGTATCCAGTACGAAGAGAGCACCCTGGAGTGGGAACACCCTAGTCCTGTGTGACATGGCACCAATGCCCTGCATTCCGAGTTGTCAGAAGGCAGCCATGTACGCGGCGCAGGGAGCTAGGTACGCAGCGTGTGCGGGGTGCTTCCGTGCCACAAACCAACCGTGAGCCACAGCCCCGTCACAGCTGTGGTAGTAGTGATGAAGGGGAGGGGGGCGGGGCCAAAGGGGCAGTGAGGGGATGACATCAAGGGCAGGGATGGAAGGCGGAGCGACCAGCAGGAAGGGGAGGAAGAACACAAGAAGGGAGTGCACGGGGCGTGAGGTAGGGGTGGCAGGTATAGGGAAGCTGGGGAGTGAGACTCATGAGTGGTGGAACGTCGTGGGAAGGGAGACGCCTCCCGAAAGGCAGTACACCGTCAGGAACCAAAGGGGAGAGGAAGCAGCCCAGGGCAGGGCATGTAATTGAAGCCCGCAAGCTGGTGTGTTTCGGCAGGGAGCCCCGCCAGCCGCACAGGACCCTAGCTAGTCCCTGTCCTTAGGGCTCTGGGCTGGGGTCTATGAGAGAGGGTGGGTCCAGATCCCTCTCTCCCCACCTCCAAAGGCAAGGACTCGCTATCAGATATCTCGAGCATAAGCATATGTAGAGTGACAAGAGATGGTACGGTGGGTCAAGCAAGACGTGAGTCGGGCTCGTAGACTCACAAATCGAGACTAAAAGAAAGAGGGGATGTGAGAGACGTTAAACACACCTGGTAACACCCTGCCCTAAGTGACTATAAGGTCAGGGATTAAGCCCCAGAAAACCTCGGCCCTGCCTTGCTGGGATTTCGAGAATTCTGCTACTCAGGAAAGTGGATGGGGAGCCATCAGGGTCAGGGAGGCCTTTGGGTAAAGGAAGTGGGAGCAGGGACTCAGATCCTCTTGCAATGTAGAAGCCAGGAAAGTTCCTCACAATAGCTGGACCATTGCCCTGCTTATACTTGGAAAGTATAAAATAAAATATAGCACCTTAAAGGAATCTCATATATCCTTGTGACTGAAAGCAGAAATGATGATTATCCAATTAGTCATGGTGGCATTGAAGGTTAAGCTCTGGCCCTTGATTCACAGAGCCCTGTTGGTATATGCCTTAGAAAATCAGCTACTGTAATTCAATGTACAGCACATACCGAATAAGAGAAGATGATTGAATTAAAAAGATAATGACCCCTTCAAGTCAGGATGATGGAACAAGATGATTAGGGTACATAAAACTCTGAGTGGAGTAGGAGGGGAAATTCTCTTAGCAACAGCTCAGGATTTTGTGATTACTTTCACTATATCATTGTCCCAAGTACAGTTGGTATGGCACAATTGTTCTAAATGTCTCTTCACATTTATATAGTTGGTCTCAATCCAGAAACAACATTGATTTGGAAAGCTTCATAGAAATCAGCGCAGGCATTTTCTGACTTAAGTGAATTTGAGATTGGCGGACAGGCAAGGCAGTATTATACCTGCTAAGCTTAAACTATTAATGAGGCACTTCAGATCAGACACTTAAGTATAACTGTAGATGGAAACTTCACAGGAGGCTCAATTTTGACCAAGCTTGCACAGTGCAGCTGGACAATAGAGGGTACTGGAAGCATTTCCGTGTCTCTGTGCCATGACTTTGAGAGAAGCCCAGGTATTGCTCCCTGCTAGCACCCAAAATGACTCCAGCTACCCAAAAAGAGGCACAATGAGATTAGGACC